TAATGTGTTTTTGAACAAACACAAAAATAAAATCCTATTTCTTTTCTTGGTTGGGATGAAATTAAAAAAATTGTGGCCCATTAGTACTTGTTGATGTTGACCCTGTGTGGTTGAAAGGTTGGGACATGCCAACATTAGAGCCTTGTCCATTGTTGTACGTTGACTTAATGTTTTAAAACAGAGTTTGGGTTCCTCTAAGGAAATCATTGATGTTGTGACCACTGCTTGAAGTAAGTGGCGTCACTAAGCTGATTTATCGATATTTGTCATTTTGTACGATCATTCCACATTGATTCTCTGTTTGGTCTGTGAACAAAGCTGCAGCTTAACAATACTGTTTTTTGTCACTGATAAGGTGTTACTGATGTGTGAAAAGGACTAGCGGTAGCATCCTTTAAGGCCCTCTGGAAACGTTCATCTTCTCTGTGCCTAGTTTGGTCACGTGTCCCTTATCTTTTGACATGCATGTGGACAGCCGAGTCGTGACCCAGGGAGCCATGCGTTGGTTTTATTTCCTCCTTACATAAAAGTGTGAGTGCTCCTTGCTGACACGGACCGTATATCCCACACCCTGCTTGTGTTTAATTCCTGATGTGGTCCAGTTTGTGTCAGAGGGTGTAAAGGAGTGCCTGCTTTTATTATTATCTTTTCCTTTCTTTGACTCAACAAAGATCCTCGTTTTGGATGAGTGTGTGACGCTCTTTCTTGGTGTATTTGTACTTCTTTCAGTTGTATTTCCGTGGGTACATTTTCAGCCCAGTGGTGCAGCGTTCTGATGACATCCGGTTAGTATTCCATTGGTTGGTGAGAGTCAAAGAGAATGTATTGATCTGTGTGTGGAGGTTTCCTGGATGTACTTCAGTCTGGAAACTTCCATCCAGCTTAATGCTCCCAGAACCGTCTAAAAAAAGGGCGAACTTGTTATCTTTAGTATTCCCTCCAGTGAATTTAATGCTGTTGTCAACCAAGTCGATGTGTTAAGTGAGGGTTTCTCCTCCTTGAACTTGGACTTTGCCCCAGGTGTCATTGACATATCTGAACGAGTGGGCGATATTGATCCCTGATTGGTGTTCAGTACTCTACCTTATATTTTGCAGAGCATGGCCACAATGGGTGACTGTAGAGATACTGTGGCTTTTCCATCTTATTTTAAATGTACTTTTTCAGGAAAAATGTAATTTAATTTAAAGTATGTCATCAAGAGCCAATCGTCTAGCAGGGTACGGCTCTAGTCAGGGGTGAAGTTGGGTTCTTGTGCCTCAAATTAAGGAATGTGTGAGATAAATTGCCTGAGGCCAGCATCAGGTGTTAAATTTGGTATAAAAATCTGTGAAGTTCTCCATGTTATGTGGGGCATTTCATACCAAAGGTGCTAAAATGCTGGTGAGGTGTTTTCAAGCCTCGACTCTTCACCCCAGGCGATTTCCAACTATTTGCCCTTTCAAACATACGACTGAATGCCTTGTATTCGATGACTCAAATTACAAACGCACCAATGTCAATTCCCCACCAGTCAGTCAGAATCAAATTAGCTTGAAAGGGTTTCAAGAACCAAGAACAGGGACTCTTGTTGCCTTTGGCTGAAGCATTTGGGATAAGTTGGTGTTAGGTGTGTTGATGAGCTGTTTGAGGTAAATACAACTCATAATCTAAAGGTGGCTGGGCTTCAGGAGTCTAGGGAGTTCTATTGCTGTTGCAAAGTTCCCTTAAACCTCATGAGACTTAAGGCGACACTGTGAGAAAGTAGTTGTCATAGCTACAGAGGAGGAAAACTGAGATGTTAAAGCTTTTAATCTGGAAGGAAATTCTCTGAAATTATAGTGTTGAGCGGGAGGTGTGTGAGAATAAACTGGATGCATAGGTTTGGCAGCTGTAGTGTGTTAGACACCATTAAATGTTTACGAAGTGCGTGTTTATTGTGAAAACTGTTTAAAGAAATAGTGAACAACATGTTGCATAGTGAATACCAGTCTGATTTTATGCTGACTTAAAGAAATAAAATAAAGAAAAAAACAGTGATTGTTGCCTGTAAGTCTGGGTGATTGTCATCTTAGGTTTGGTTTTAGCTCTTCCTGCTGTTCTCTTTATACAGAAACAATCTGCTTTCTCCAATTGTTTGCCTCCTTCTAGCTGCAGGGAACAATATTAGCAGAACCCCAGGTTCTGAACGCTACAGCAAGTTTGGTCTGCTTAAAGCAACACAAAACACCCATGTTGTGCTTGTGCCCCTGATTGACAATGACATCGGCTAGACATTCGCTTCTCCGCTGGCATTGGCTGCATCCGTTGCACAGCAATTTTTCCCCGGTGAGTTTGATTGTTGTAAGTCTGAGGCTACGCTCTAGGGACTATGTATGCTAAAGGACAATTTGTGCCTCTAGCATTCGCTGTAATTCTGTTGACAGTGTTTGATTTCAGGCAGTTTTTCCGCTGAAGTTGAAGAGAGATTTGTGCCTGCAAGACACGGGGATGATCGTCTACACCCTTGATTGCACAGATTGCCTGCATTTCACTAATTAGATTTGTTACATAGGCGCTCAGTCGGAGAGCCGTTGCAGCACTAGTACAATCCTGCATACATTATATTAATATATTGACCGTGCAGCCTGTTTAATTCATTTCCATTCCTCGATGAAGTGCTACTATAAGGGATGTGATGGATTCTAAGTGTAGAGGGCAGGAAGCAATCACATGGCCTGTAGGAGAGACTCCTCTTGTTTTTTGCAGAGCCCTGATGTCCTGATGGATGTAATTACCTCCCATTAATGCTTTGTGTCAAATTGAGGCACCTGGATTGAAAGCACACTCCACCCCCACCCCCCACCCCCCTTTTTTTTGTTCACATCATCACCATTGTTGCTTCTGCTTTCTCCCCGTTGAACTGTGAGGCTTTGTCTATTAAAAATATGCTCTTTTCTCACGAAGATTATTAATGAATTGATCAATTGATGGGATAATTATTGGTAATTTTCAGGTATTCTCTGGAAATCTATTGTTTCTTCCAGAGGTTAGTAAGTCAGACATGAATACTCACGTTGGTGCGGCTGTTTCTGAAATGGTGTTTTTGTATATTTTCCATTTTTTGGGCGTAAAGTAAGAGCTGGAAAATCAGAGCAATGTGCATAATGCTCCTTTAAATCCAACGAGGTTGTTTGTCAGTTGAATTTATGCGTTTTATCAGATGCAAATAAACCCCAAACATCAGACAAACAAAAACGCTGGCCACCGTGGGGCATCACGGTCTGCTGTGATTGGTTGGCTCTCAGCTGAAAGGTTTCCTGTTCCAACCTTGGCTGGGCGTCTGTGTAGAGTTTGCACGATCCTGCTGTGGCTGTTGAGGTTTTCCCTGTGTATTTCTGTTACATCCCACAGTCCAAAGACAGGTTATGGAAATTGGTGAATCTGAGTCTTTAGGTGCGAGTCTGTTGCTTTTTTCTGCATTCCTCTTACCAAACCAAGGGTCACGAGGACACATGTCAACCAGCTCTCACACTAAATACATTGTCTATCTGCTAAATGTAGTTTATTAACCCTCTGATGCATGAATTATGAGATCTTCAACCATTATTTTTTAAACAATTTTTTTCATTCATCTTTAGGTGTGAATTAAACAAATTTCAACAAATATTTTTGTAACATTTTGTTAATTTACAAATACTTTATTACATGTCCATCTCAGTGGACAGCGTGCAATCTGAACATGAAATATGTTGGCTTGCCTTACTGAAGTCCAACTGGAGAGGCTCACATGCAATAAAGTCTTCAACAGCTGTGCTTAATAGCAAAAATAAATAAATAACAATTTTGAGTACCTGTCCACTGTAGTGACCATTATGCATCAAAGGGTTAATAAAATGCCACCGTTTCTAAAGTTTCTTTTATATGTAAACAGACAAATGCTATACAGGTAAAACACCTTCTACCACCACCCCAGTTCAAACAATTTTTTCCACCGTTTTCTAATTAAACAAGTTAACTGCTCTTTTAAAGAGACAATATGTAGTTTTTACTATTAATTTCTGGAAATATCTATCAAAATGCCCAGTTGCTGAAAATTATTGACGGCTTTGTAACATAACACCATAAAAATCAGGTCTAAAATACACTGGAGCGGGTCTAACTCTGGGTGATGCCATATTAGATGTCATGTTTCCTTCTACGGAAGCCCTTGAGGACAAAATGCATTTACTGATTAATAACAAATGGTTCCAAAACTTTCGTCATTCTTAAATGTCGTTTTACACATTCACTTGTTGCCACTGATGAATGGGAGTCAGATGTGCTTGTCATTTTGCTAAAGTTTGCAATCCCTAGAGCTTTTTGACTAATGGGCATCCATTGGTAAGGTCTTACTCCAACGCAAAAATACTGCTTGCTTGCAACAATTTAGGTATCTACTGCCCCTGTCGCCAGAAAAAATACTGTCACTTTAAAAAACAGAAATTTAGCAACACTTTTAATTTCTAATTAAAGAATACAAATGTTATACATTGGTCAGCCTCTACAATAAACCATGTATAAAAGTGCTTCTTTTAGAGAAAGTTGAATAAAAAAAAATTCCAGGATCAAACAAACATTAAAAGAATTACTGCCTTAAAAAACATCTACATGAAAACTCATGACATTTAACTCATTGTGCTGCTGAAATGTTGTGTACTGTGGTAAATTCATGCCCCTATTCCATTCATGTTAATATTATTCCTGTTCAAAGTTACAAGGAGCCACTTCAGGGTCTGTAGAGCTTCGCGTGGCTCCAGAGCCGCAGGTTGCGGACCTCTGGATTTCATCATTAAATATTTATAGTTTATTGCTTCGCTGCTTTAAACTCACTGATTAAGATCTCAGATGCTGTCGATTCGTTGTTCTTTCTGAATAAAGAATATTTTCAGCTAGTTTTTGAAATAAGTAAATCTGTTTTCCACTGTTTTGGAAATACATTTTTTTTCATTGTCCCAGAGGATTTTCTGACCTCCATCTCTGTGTCCCCCCCCCCTCCCCAGTTGCATCAGGTGACCAACCTCGCTTCACTGGAGACAGCCATCCTGGGAACACGGGCGTAATGAGGGAGAGGAGGACAGCTGGTGACCCCTACTGGTCCTATTCAGGTGAGCTCTCTTTTATAGTCTGGCCTGAGCTGGAGATGGGGTGGAGGTGGGGGGTGGAGGTGGGGGGTGGGGATGGCTCACCTCCTCTCTGACTCGCCTGTCATTTCCCTGTTTTTTTGTCCACAATTTTTCTGGCAACCTTTCTACCCTTCTTGCTGCTGCATCCAGAAGGGTTGATGTAGGTGTTTTAGTATTCATACACTGACGTACCCGGGCTGTATGTTTCCACTGCTTTTAATAACGGTAATTAAACTAATGCGTTAGGGAGGGGAACGCTGACATATGGCGAAGGGATTTAATGTTCAGACTGTTAATGTGAGATTATTATGTAGTAGCCCTCTGTGTGGGACTAAAATGAACAAAACAGCTATTCCTAAAGTCTTCTAGTCATGTTGGATTTTGCAAAAAATTATTGTGAAATGGAAAAGGTAAGTTTTGGTTGATGCATATGTATTCAGTTTGAATTTTTGCTTTTTAACTGCTGTACAATTTTTCTTTTCTCTGTGAGGGAGGTGAGGAGGTCAGGAAAGCATGTTCTTCTACTCCTTCACTACACTAATGCAAACATGGTCCATAGTCAGCTATCAAGTAGTTCCAATGGGAAATTTGGGTTGCGTGCTCTGGTTGAGGGCACCTGACTGAAATAGCTCAGGGAGGGAGCACTTGTGTTTACAGGTCCAAGAACACCACCTTGCAAAATAGCGCTCTCAGTCCCTCTGCCACCGGAGTGCATTGCAGCTCTGGAAATGATTACACTGATGGAATATTTTGTCTTCATTGCTGCGGTCGGGAGTCAAAAAACGAAAAGGCAAAAAAAGGGGCTTTAGGCAAGGAGATTGCACAGTTCACAGTGGGAAAATGAACTGTGCTCACTTTGGGCTCACGTTTGTTTTGTATTCATGTCACTCCTATTAGTGGCTTTCGGCTCCCTCGGTTGTCTGGTAGAGGCAGTAAAAGACTGTCCGCCTTGTCTATCCAAGCATGACAGCTTTCTCGAAAAGTACAAGGTATCTGGAGCCCATAATAAGAGGCCTAATTACTTCAAACATGGTTTTGTTTTCTGGATTCCTCTGTGCACAGGAGCCTTCTATAAATAGTCAACCTTAATCACCTTTCTCCATGTCTGTGTGTCTTATCTGATGATGAGATTCAGCGGTTTCAGTTCTTCGATTGGAATATGATTTTGATGATACAACACTATGGTAATGAGTGCTTTTTGGCCCAGGCCGGTGTTTGTGGTTAATGTAAAAAATGGGAAGAGGCTCAGTGAGTGATGAAATTACCCAGCTGATTAGTTGAAGTACTCAAGCACCAAAAAACAGTAAATTACTTCTCGTTTTATTTATTTTGTAGATCAAAACTTAATCTAACCTCCCATTCCTGATTAGTAATGACTATTGTTTGAAATTTGAAGTCTTTTTTTCTTTTGTAAAGATGTGAATTTGTGGCTTTTAGTCTTACTGGATCACTGTTTCCCCTCTGTTATTGGGCATTTGCACTCTCAGGGTAATTACTGTTATACTCCCGTCTTTGATTTTAATCACTAATTGCTAATACACTTTAACATTCTTAGTGCAAAACCACACTTGAGTCTAGATTTCAGCAGGGCGCTGCATTCTTGCTGAGTTTTCTTTCATTTTATAATTAGAAATACAAATAAAACATTTCTTAAGTCCATTGGAGCTTTAGATCATTTTTTAAAATTGGTCAGCATTTAAATCATGATTATTTAAAGCAGTGGTTCCCAACCTAAGGTCTGTTGCAGGGGCTCCCTACAATGTTGTGAGTGCTGAGGTTGTGAGGTTACCAAGGTTATAGTTGTAAAAACTACATTAATAAAATCCAGATAACACACCCAATAGTACAATCAGAACTCTGTGTTAGAGGCAAATAACTCTGAATGTCTCTATAATGCTTGTAATTATTCACTTTTATTTGTGGGTATGCACGCAGGAGTTGGACTGGGCGGCCCTGACTAGTCAGGAAAGGGGATCCTTGTGAAAAAATGTTGGGAACCACTGATTTAAAGGTCAATTTCACTCATAGTTTCAATACATTTGCAATAGTCTCTAGTAAGAATGAATGTCTTGTAAGTTGCACTTTAGGGAAATAAAGCTCTGGTGCGCCCGTTTGAGGATAGAGGAAGTAGCTTCTTGCTGATATTTAGACATCTTGCCTCTGATTGGATAATAGTTACTTGATTCTACCACTGACATGCAATGTGGATGTTTTATCTCCACAAACATCACAAGCCTGGAGGAGTTCTGCTGTGTGGTAGATTTGCTAATGCTATCAGTTAGCTTCTACTAGACGAGATGTTCTCTGCTTTTTCCTGGATGCTAAACCAACAACAGCCTTCCCTGTCGCGAGTCAAGATGGGTGAGTCCATGAACGTTAATTGACAGTGTAGATCTGTCAGGCTTTTCTAATCCTAGAGTTTCACCATCTATTTTCTATCAGAAGCTAATGCAGGAGACAGGTGTAGGAGACTATTCTCATGTTCAACCTGCATGACAAACTCAGTGACCGAATATAATCAGTATGGAGTGGACCTTTAACTTGGGAAACACACTGCATTTATTCCTCTTCAGCTAAAATTATAGGAGTGCTGCTGCTCTTCAAAATAAGAGCATTAAGTGACACCCCCCCCCAAAAAAATACACCAGGCATCACTCTGCATTCAGCATCCTTAATTGTTCATTATGATCTCTGTTTGTGTCTCTAACATCCATCCATCCATCCATCCATCCATTGTCTGAATCCGCTTTGTCCACGTAGGGTCGCGGGGGTGGTGGTGGTGGTGGTGGGGGGGGCTGGTGCCTATCTCCAGCGGTCAATGGGCAATCAGGTGGGGTGCACCCTGGACAGAGAGCCAGTCCATCGCAGGGCAACACAAAGACACACAGGACAAGCACTCACACACTCACACCTAAGGACAATTTGGACAGACCAATCAATCTAACAGTCATGTTTTTGGACTGTGGGAGGAAGCCGGAGTACCCGGAGACAACCCACACATGCACAGGGAAAACATGCAAACTCCATGCAGAAGGATCCCAGGCCGGGAAGCGAATCAAGGACCTTCTTGCTGCAAGGCAACAGCTCTAACCACTGCACCACTGCACAGCCCATGTCTCTAAAATTTTCCATCATTTTCTAATTGTATTTTTGAATGAATAACATCAGAAATAGTCACTTTAATAGGTTTTCTCCTGAGGCCAACATTTTGTAGCAGATGATTTCCACATAAACCCCTAAACATCCAAAGCTCACATTTGAAGGAAAAGAAGTTTACCAAATAATTCTGTTGATAACGATCATAATGCATGTCTTTTTAGGAGTGATAATGCATGGAAAAAGAGGTTTATTAAAATTATTACAGGATGCCACAGCACAATCATCTGGAGGTCATGATTGAAAAAAAATAAAAGTTTTTTTATTTGACGGAAAGCGTGACAAAATAAGAGCATGCTTGAAAATTGAAATGGTACGAAATAACAAAATAGATGTTTAATTAAACAGTCTTTTATTGTTTGGAGCCTAAATCATAACAGAAAAATGACTTTGATTCATGCTTTGGTCTTCCAGGTCATGTCTAATTCAAAAAGTTTTTGTTGTTGTTTTAATGGGGACTCAAATACTTTCTTTTTTTTTATTCAATAGAAAAAAGTTAGATTTGTTTAGTTTGAACTGAGAAACCTATTTGGTAAAGAAGGGAAACATCTTATTAACCTTACATTTAAAAAACAGGACTTACTTGACATACGTGCTCTGTGTTTTTTGGTGAAGCATGATTGCAGACGTAGTTAATACATAGTTTTGTTCTGTGTTCTTTATTTTGTTAGAATTTCTTCTCAGCTTAGCAGATTAGCATTTGCAGCGCCGTAGGGTCTCTTAGAGGCAGAACTGGATGTCTTGGGCTGATTTTTGAACAGGCCTGTGCTGACCACCAATCCCCCCATAGTGAAGGCAGCTGGCTGATTGTATGGAGAAAAAGGGGAAGCATTGAGGGAACACAGGACTGTCCATTACTTTGGGAATGTAATTAGTGGCCAAGACTGTGAATAGGAGACAGACAAGCGTGCCTTAGCAGCTAAATGGTTATTAAGAGCATTTGCTCCGTGCAAGTGAGAGTAACAGAAATGCACGCGCTAGCGTTAGCCTCCAGCTAGAGCGTACTTGTGCTACACAGGCTTCAGCACAAAGAACTAGACACACATAACGTACATAAGAGCAAGCCTCTCCCTTTTCTACTTGCTGTGTAACCTCCCAGCGCTAACCACTCCAGGGGAGCAAACGGAGTAACAGTGAGAAAAGTTTGTGAATTTCTTATTTATTTCAAACCAGAATTTGCGGTGTGACGATTAGAGCTGCATAAAAGAGAGAAACTTGACTTTGCAAGGGTTGCACAGTGTTATATAAGCGTTGAATTAGATATGTGGCATTGTTTAACTATAATTATGAGATGCGTGCGGGGATGATTTTTTTAAGCAGTCCAAAGCATTAAAGAAACAGGCTGGAGAGTGCAAAGAGAACTCTTATCAGCCCACGACACGTCTCCTTCCTGTGCACTTTGATTATTATAAACCTCAATGCAAGTGGTCTTGAAACTCACACCTTGAAACTTGATTAAAAGTTATTTAAGGCTGAGTGTGTGTGTGTGTGTGTGTGTGTGTGTGTGTGTGTGTGTGTGTGTGTGTGTGTGTGTGTGTGTGTGTGTGTGTGTGTGTGTGTGTGTGTGTGTGTGTGTGAGAGAGCGAGAGAGAGAGAGTTCACATTTCGAGGCATTTTTCATAAGAGGGATGATATCATACTCACCATAAGACTCCCACTGGAACAGGGCTATGCATCATTTCCCCTTTTTATATCTCTGCAGGTTTTCACATCATCTCTGTTAGTTTCACTCGCTTCCTTTATCAGTATTTTTATATTTTTGGCCAACGCCAGCACCAGTTTGCTTCTGATCGCTTTCTTGGTGATTTATTGTTCTAGTTTAATTA